GCCTGGCAGAGCCACTGTGGTTCCGGGTTTCGAGCCCTCCGGGGCCAGGATACCCGCGCCTCTGGGCTCTCGGGCAGGCGGGCGCCCGAGACAGGACCCTCGGGCACACGGCCTCCCTGCCAAGCACCACGCGACCGGAAGCTGGAAAGCCTGGTGCCAACCAGGCAGTACTTCCGGTTGACCCGGAAGTAGAGGGTGGTGTGGGGCCTGGAAGTGCAGCTCCGTGTCCAGCATCTCCCGGCGCTGACTCCTGCCTGTGGCAGGTGAGTTGCTCTGACCTGTTGCCACCGCTCCTCCCAGGGAAGGTCATCGCCCTGCAGTTGGGCCCCACTGACCCTGCGGGAGAGGTCTGGACAGGACCGCCTTCCCTCCATTCCCGTCTCTCTCTTATCCTTCCTCTACGACCTGGGTGTTTCCAAAAACCCGTACGCTTCCTCACCTCCCACTTTTCTCCTGGCGCCACTGCAGCCTCATCTCAGCCGCCACCGCCCTACCTAATGTCTTAGTCACAACATCCAGGGGGCGCTTTGAAACCCTTGCCCGATTTAATCCTGGGCCTGTGTAGACACTGAGGACCAGGCCCTCCATCTCGACACAGTTCCCTTTGTCTCCTGGGACAGCGTGCGTTTCCACCATGTCTGGGGTTTTCTGAAGTCCAGGCGCTAGAGAATTACAAGAGGCAGGATGAGGGGTTCTGGAGAAACCGAGCACTGACATTTATTGACCTGAAGCGTTGACATACAGTTTATTCTAGTCTACTCCCCCAAAGGCTCTGCACCTCTTTGCTCCACTGAGTACACACAGCTTAGGCGTGATGGAGCAGGAAGACAGAACCTGGGATCCTGATGACATCAGCCTCTGGACCATGTTAATGTGAAACAGAAACAAACCCAGGCCAGCAGCCACCATTGTTTCTGGTCTTCCATCTAACCAATAAACGTCCTCAATAATCCACAACTAGTCAGAATAACAGGTAACCAGAAAAATGCCCAGGTTAAATTACAATCAAAATGACTATAAACAGCCCTAGCTGGTTTGGCTTAGTGGATAGAGCGTAGGACTGAAGGGTCCCGTGTTCAGTTCCCCATCAGGGCACAGGCCTGGGTTGCAGGCTCGATCCCCAGTAGGGGGCGTGCAAGAGACAGCCAATCAATGATTCATCATTGATGTTTCTGTCTCTCGCTTCCTCTCTGATATCAATCAAAATATATTTTAAAAAATGACTATGAACATAGGTTTGAAACTGTTAAACTATATTGATGTTAAAATAATTTGGGTATTTTATAAGAAATTAATATTTTGAAAATAACCACTAATTTTCTATAAATCCATATGATGATATTTATGAAACAAAGAACTTTACAAACTAATGATAAAGACTTATAATTATGCAAATTGCCTCAGTGTTTCATTTATCCACCATTTACTGAATATAGATACTCAGCCAACACTATGCTGGCTGCTAGAGGTACAAAGATAAATGAGTCTCTAACTTCCATTGAGGACTCACAGACTAATGATAGAGACACAAACAGATGGTTTATGAAGTATTTATTGTCAATGTATTTTTTATTCATGAGCAGATTTTTTTAGATTTAGCAAGTGAACAAAAAATTTTTAGTTATGAAAGAAATCCACTAAATGTAATTTGGCTCAGTGACCAGTAGAGGGTAATAGAACATCAGAATGACAGCTTAAGAATGTCTTTATGGACCATAGTGTAGGCATTTTTCTATAAACATAATTTACTCAACTAATATTTGTCCCCAAGCTCATTACATACTTATCTATTGAATATGCAAAGTATATAGATCCATTCTAAATAAAATACATTCATGATTTAGAAAAATACAGTGAAAAAAATAAGTTTTACTTATTCCTATTTTATTTATCATTCTGTTTTACTTTTTTTTTCTCTATGTCCTACAATATCATGAAAGCTCACTAACCAAAGAAATACATTGCTTTTTATCATGTGTTACAAATATCGTTTATCTGTCTTATTGGTACCTTTCAGAAATAGTCAAGTTAATGAAACTCGATGAAATGGATGCACCAAGCCAGCTGTAGTTGTTGACAGAAAATAAATGATAAAATCTCTTTATGTTATCGGTGAGTAGTATTTTGAAGCTTGAAATTTGATCCCTCTTAGTTATGTAAGTTTTTTTTTACTATAATTCATGTCTGTAATATTGAGATCAAAACTTTTTAAAATGCAACTAATAGAAAAGCATTTTCTGTTAAACCACAGTATTCTTTTTGCAAGATGGAAAGAAAAGAAAAAAAAGCTTTTCTTTGTCAGAATGTGTTTTGTTTAAAGTGAAAGTGCCTCTTGTTTAGACTACAATAGACAATTCTCCCTTTGGAAGGGCATCAATTGGCCATTATTTATGGAGTACCCACTAGATCAGGGGTGGGCAAACTTTTTGACTCAAGGGCCACAATGGGTTCTTAAACTGGACCGGAGGGCCGGAACAAAAGTATGGATGGAGTGTTTGTGTGAACTAATATAAATTCAAAGTAAACATCATTACATAAAAGGGTACGGTCTTTTTTTTTTAGTTTTATTCATTTCAAACGGGCCGGATCCGAATCTGGCCCGCGGGCCGTAGTTTGCCCACGGCTGCACTAGATGCTCCATTTATGTGCTGTAACAAATTAACAAGAACTGGGTGGCTTAAAACAAAAGGTATTTATTCTGTCACAGTTTAGGAGGCCAGAAATCTGAAATCAAGGTGGGCTTCTTCTGGAAGCTCTGACGGAGAATCTTTTCCTGGCCCCTCTCCTAGTTTCTGGTGGTTGCCAGCAATCCTGGACTTGTAGCTGCATCCCTCCAATCGCTGCCTCCTTCTTCACATGGCCTTGCCTTCTGTGTGTCTCTCTGTGTCTTCACACGGCCTTCCCTTCTGTGTGTCTCTGTGTCTTCACACAGCCTTCCCTTCTGTGTGTGAATATGCAAAGTATATAGATCCATTCTAAATAAAATACATTCATGATTTAGAAAAATACAGTGAAAAAAATAAGTTTTACTTATTCCTATTTTATTTATCATTCTGTTTTACTTTTTTTTTCTCTATGTCCTACAATATCATGAAAGCTCACTAACCAAAGAAATACATTGCTTTTTATCATGTGTTACAAATATCGTTTATCTGTCTTATTGGTACCTTTCAGAAATAGTCAAGTTAATGAAACTCGATGGAATGGATGCACCAAGCCAGCTGTAGTTGTTGACAGAAAATAAATGATAAAATCTCTTATGTTATCGGTGAGTAGTATTTTGAAGCTTGAAATTTGATCCCTCTTAGTTATGTAAGGTTTTTTTACTATAATTCATGTCTGTAATATTGAGATCAAAGCTTTTTAAAATGCAACTAATAGAAAAGCATTTTCTATTAAACCACAGTATTCTTTTTGCAAGATGGAAAGAAGAGAAAAAAAGCTTTTCTTTGTCAGAATGTGTTTTGTTTAAAGTGAAAGTGCCTCTTGTTTAGACTACAATAGACAATTCTCCCTTTGGAAGGGCATCAATTGGCCATTATTTATGGAGTACCCACTAGATGCTCCATTTATGTGCTGTAACAAATTAACAAGAACTGGGTGGCTTAAAACAAAAGGTATTTATTCTGTCACAGTTTAGGAGGCCAGAAATCTGAAATCAAGGTGGGCTTCTTCTGGAAGCTCTGACGGAGAATCTTTTCCTGGCCCCTCTCCTAGTTTCTGGTGGTTGCCAGCAATCCTGGACTTGTAGCTGCATCCCTCCAATCGCTGCCTCCTTCTTCACATGGCCTTGCCTTCTGTGTGTCTCTCTGTGTCTTCACACGGCCTTCCCTTCTGTGTGTCTCTGTGTCTTCACACAGCCTTCTTACAAGAAAACCAGTCTTGGATTTAGGGCCCACTCCAATCTAGTGTGACCTCATCTTAACGGATTACATCTGCAAAGACCCTGTTTCCAATGAGATCATACGCTGAGGTTCTGGGTGGGCATGAATTTTGGCAGAACACTATTCAACCCAGTACAAGTGGTATGCTATTTTGTATGTCTTCAAATAAATCTTCAAAGAGAAAAAATAATATGGTTTTCTGTTATGGAAATAATATAGAAACTGAATTATTATATTCAGAATAGACATATCCCAAAGTACAATCAATTGAGTCTTTTACTTTCCTTTCCTTAATCTTCTTACTTTGTCTTACTTTTATTCTATTTTTATATTCATGTGTTTATACCTTGCCTTATTCTATAATGGTTTTGAGGTGTCTTACACTAAAAATATTTAGATAGTAATGCGCATAACATAAAATGTATGTGGCTCTCTCTCAATAAACAGTGTATGATTTTTTTGAGACCCAGTAGAATCAGATATTTAATAATAAAGGAAGCTATAGTAAAACTCTATAAGTGGAATCCAAAAGTTCCATCACATGAAATTCACATTATCAAAATGTTAAAGAAAACATCCCTTTTCAATTAGTCTCTCAGTTATTATATATTTAATTTGTGTTCACTCATGAAATATGTAAGAAATAGACCAGTTATTACAAATGTGCACAATACAATGAACTGAGAAAGCCCCAAGTTATCACAAAGTAGTCATTTTCAGATCCTTTACCCTGAAGAAGATACGACCTTAAACTGGTCCCTAGTTGAGAACTGCAGCTGGGTGGAGGATGGGACCCAACTGCCAACTGGGTTCTCCCTAAATTTACATGATCTCAGAGACATCACAGTTTAAAGGAAGAGCAGAAAGTCAAGACCAGAGACACTAAGCACAGATGATAAAGGAAAATGTGGCCCGTTGCATAGTTCTCATCAGAAAGGAGGAAGCACATCACCTCAGGAGGACCCAAGTTTTTTGTAGTGATGACTTGCTTAAAAAATGTCTCATTGAGTGATAAAGGGAAAAGATCATGTTCTTTAAAAACTTCTAAAGCAATTGCACTAACAGGAAAGGTTGCTTCTTCTCAACCGTTTTGTTCAAGTGGAGGCCATGATGCTGAAACAACTCAACCAAGGTAGTTATGGACGGGCGAAGATAACAGGACAGAAGTTTAAAGGAGCTGGAAGAGCCACTGAAACAAATATCCTCAAACACACCTCCCAAAATGTCACCCTCCCATGTGGACTCTCAGGCTTGTGCTCACTGATGAGAAAATAGGAAGCTAATATTCGGAGATGCTGGATATCTATACATGCTTTAAAAACAGGTGAGCAGACAGTCGAGTTACATTCTCAAAGAAAATTAAAGAACCCAAATAGAACACTGGACAAATATTCTAACGTTTCCTACAAGGAAACTCAGAACTTTCCACAAGAAATCGTTCTGCGGGCTTCAAGATCCATCCAGTCAACCCTGCAAGAAGCTTTGCCTTTCCTACTTCCCTACCTTCTGAGGCCCAATGACAACACAGGGACAAAAATCCCAGAATAGTCAAGAGAAGAGAAAGGGAGTTGCCAGTGGGTGAAGGAATAAAACAAATGTGTGGAAGATGGAAAGAGACTAGAAAGCTGCCTGTGGTTGTAGATAAGAAAGAATGGGTAGATAAGAAAGCCCAAAATATGCAGGAAGGGTCTTCAGTGCAGGAGA